GGCCTCGGGACCACACCGGGGGGATGGAGCCCGGGCCTCGGGACCACGCCGGGGGGATGGAACCCAGGCCTTGGGACCAGGCCGGGGGGATGGAGCCCGGGCCTATTCTTTCAGCATCCCTCTTTAAGAAATATTTTCCTGCAGCAATCAGCAACAGGGGACACTGAACTTTTCCATTCAAAACCTAAATATCAGCCCAAAGCTCAGACTGTACAAAATCATCAGAGAACACACTTCAGACAATTGCTGTTTGTATTTGTCAGTGAAAAAACAAACTTACAAAACTCCAATTTGGGATATTTGGTTATTTTGTGATGTTGAGCAGCTGCAGAATCTCCTTTAATCTGTCCAATCTCAATACAGTGTTTAAATAAATTGGTACATTCGAGGAATTGCTTTGTAAAGCCAGTTACAAATCACTAAGGAAAGAAAAGACAAAATGGGAAAGAAAGTGACAGAGAGAAAATAAGAGAGACTGAGAGAAGGGGGCATAGGACAGAGTGGGAGGGATAGCCAGAAACAGATTGCTCAAGTCAGAGACAAGGCGAGAAAGAGAGTGAAAGAGAGAGAGAAACGCAGTAAACAAAGAGAAAACAAGATAAAGACTGACAGAGAAACCTCTCTGATCAGCAGGAAATGTTAAAGAATGGCAGAGCACCAAAAATGGCTATTTGACCCATCGTTTCCATGCTGTATTCCTCTCAGCAACACTGCCCGCAGTATTGCAGGCCGAGCTGGTGTGGTGACCTCAGAGACATTGAGAACGGCGGAGTCAGGACTGAACCAGCTCTACTGTGGCTTTTCATCTCCTCTCGGACTGCCGACTTTGATTGGATGAACTCCTGGAGATCTCATCACATGACCTCCCACCTCCAACTGCCCTTTGCCCATTATTGACCACACCACAGGAGGTCTCTGTGCCAATAACCCATCATCATTCCCTTGATCAGTCTTTCCTTGGTCAGTGAGAGGAGGGCAAGGGGAGGGTAGGGGTGTGAGGAGGGGCAAGGGGAGTGGTCCTGCTCATCTGGTCCAGGCACTGGCCTCGCTGCGATTAGTGACCGCAGACTTGATGCTGTATCGTTTCTTCACAATCGTGTTGATGTAGCCCTTCATTATCTTGGTGATTTCACCCACCTGCAATAAGACAAAGGCAATGAGGGAGAGAAAAACAACAGTATTTCTCAGCCAATGAGAGCGAGCATCTACAGCAATATCTCAGTGAAGAACATAGGAGCAGGAGTAGGCCATTCAGCCCCTCGAGCCTGTCTGCTCTCCTAAATTATCGCCGATCATCTACCTCCATCCTCAATATTCCCAAACTCCCCCATTTTCTTTGATGTCATTAGTAAGTAGAAATCTATCAATTTCTTTCTCTTGAACACGCTCAGTAACTCAGCTTCTACAGCCGTTTGGAGTAGGGAATTCTAAGATTCACCACACTCTGAATGAAGATATTACCTCATCTCATTCAAAGTTGGCCCATCGCTCGTGCTGAGATTATTTCCCTGGATTTAGACTCATCTTCCGGGGAAACATCCTATCTATATCCACCCTGGCATATCCTAGAAGGATTTTGTAATTTTCAATCAACTCCAGAGTATTCAGACACAGTTTCATTAATCTTTCCTCAAAAGACAATTCCATCATCCCAGAGATTAATCGGGTTAACCTCCACTTCATTCTTCCTATGGTAAGAACATCATTCCTCAAATTACAGCAAAACTGCACACAATAATCTAGGTGTGGCCTCACCAAGGCACAGTATAATTTCAGCAAGACTTATTTACTCCTGTACTCAAATCACATTTTGATAAAAGCCAACACATATCTGTCTTCCTCATCCCTTGCTGTTCCTGTAAACTAGCTTTCAGTAACTTATGAACAGTGGCACCAAGTCCCTTTGGACATCAACACTTTTCAACCTCTTACCATTTAAGAAATACACTGCGCCTCCACTCCTCCTACCAAATTCTCATTATTTCCGAGATAGTAGGAACTGCAGATGCTGGAGAATCTGAGATAACAAGGTGTAGAGCTGGATGAACACAGCAGGCCAAGCAGCATCAGAGGAGCAGGAAAGCTCACGTTTTGGGCCTAGACCCTTCTTCAGAAATGGGGGAGGGGAA